TTGATGGATGAATGGATAAAGATACGGTATATATATATATATACACAATGGGATATTATTAGGCCATGAGAAAGAAGGAACTTCTACTGTTTGCAACAGCATGGATAACGCTTGAGGCATTATGCTCTGTGAAATGTCAGACAGAGAAAGACAAATACTGTGTGATATCACTTGTAGTGGAATCTAAAATGCTGAACTCAGAGAAACAGAGAGTAGATTGGTGGTTACTGGGGCTGGGAAGGTGGGGGAAATGGGGAGATGTTGGACAAAGGGTACAAACTTTCAGTTATAAGATGAATAAGTTCTGGGGATCTAACACACAGCATGGTGACTATAGTTAACAATACTGTAGTATATACTTGAAATTTGCAAAGAGAATAGATCTTAAATGTTCTCACCATACACAGACAAAAGATGTAACTATGTGAGGTGATGGATGTGTTAGTTAACCTTATTGTGGTAATCATTTTACAAAATATACATATATCAAATAAAAAAAAAGAAGTTAAAAGTAGTAAAGGGAAATAACTCTCAAAATAAGAGGGTTACTTTGATCTGTAGAATTCCCTCTAAAGTTTTAGGATCAATTTTACTCATGAAGAATGAATTAGGAGTAAGCCGATCTAGAGATAGGGAGTTGGAACCAGAGACTTTCAAGAGTCCTTCTAGCCCTAGATTCAGGAATTTATTTCATCAACCTCTCCCTGCTTACACAAAGCATAATGTGGATGTTTCTGGTCAGTGAGTGGCCTTCTATGTGGTCATTCAAAACCCAGGCTCCTTCTTTTTCATGGTTCCACCAACCCCTAGAGCCTCAGAATTCTTTGCTGATCTAGAGCATCAAGTCAGCAGACAGGGAGAAAGGGAATATAGAGGATCATCTGGAAACTTTTATGAGCCACGCAACATTGAAATGCAAATGTCACTTAGGGAAACCTGGTATATTCCACAGGACAGAACTTAGTCACATGGCCACATCTAATTACAAGGGAGCCTGGCTAATGCAGTCCATCTATGTGCTCAGGAGGCAGAGGAAACAGGGTTTGGTGAATATATCATAGTCTTTACCACAGTTCAATAAATAGTTGCTGAAAGCATATGACGTGACAAGCTGTGTGCATCCTGCTGGGATCCAAGATGATCAAGACCGACTCCTGCCTTTGAGGCACAGATGGATAATTTCACAACAATGTGGTAAGAGCAATGATCTTAGCAAACACAGGATACACAGCAACTTAGAGGATGATACTTAGCCCAGCCGGGAGATGTCTTACAAGGCTTCCTGATAGATGAAACTCTCATGCTGCGCCTTGAGGATGAATAGAAGAATGGGAGAAAGATATGAGGAAGGTATTTGAGGCAAAAGCAATGATCAGAATCAAGAGTGTGGAAGGGAACTATAAGCAATTCAATATTATTAGAGTGAAAGGAATGGGCAAGGAGGGGCAGGAGATGTAACTACAGGGGCCTGTCATGGGGAGCCTGGCATGGTATCTAAAGGCATTTGGACATTTTCAATAAGCAGTGGGAAGAAACTGGGGGCATTAAAAGAGGGATGGACACATGGGCAGCTACGCATTTAACAGAGTTCACTTTGGTATTTATTTTCAGGACGGCTTTGAGGGAAGAAAGACTCAGAAGTTTGGAGGTTTTTTACAACCGTTCAGGCAGGAGATAATAAGGGCTTGAACTAGGTTGTAAAGGAAGGATTGATGCGAGAAATACAGATAAATTAAAATTGGGATGAATTGCTAATTGGTTATATGTGAGGGTTAAAGGAAAAGGAAGAGCCTGGAATCAGTCTCAGCCTTCAGACTTGAGTAACCCTGTAACATGTCTTGTCATGAACTGACATGGAAATGTATACCCATAAAAAATATAGGGAGAGCAGTAGATTCGGGAGAAGGTGAGTGCAGTCTGGGGGATTGTCCAGTTATGTATTGTGTAACAAACCACCTGAAAACTTAGTGGCATAAAACAACCGATTTATTGTGTTCATGGATTCTGTAGGCCAAGAAGTTGGACAGGCCTCCACACGGATGATTTATGTCTATTCCCCAATGTCTGGGGCTTTGGTTTAGAAGAGTCACATGGCTGGAATCACAAGGAGATTTCTTCGCTCACATGCTGGGGCCCTGATAGGAGTGGCTTGAAGGCTGAGTTCAGCATTGTAGAATGTTTAGCAGCACGCCAGCCTCTATCTACCAGATACCAAGAGCATCCCACACACTCACTTGTGACAACCAAAATGTCTTCCTGGGGCCAGCCCGGTGGAGTAGTGGTTAAGTTTGTGCACTCTGCTTAGGCGGCCTGGGGTTCACAGGTTCAGACCTACACACTGCTCATCAAGCCATACTGTGGTGGCGTCCCACATACAAAATAGAGGAAGATTGGTACAGATGTTAGCTCAGGGACAATTTTTTTTCCTCAAGCAAAAAAGAAAGAGGAAGATTGGCAACAGATGTTAGCTCAGGGCCAATCTTCCTCACCAAAAAAAAAAAAAAAGTCTTCCTGACATTGCCAATCTTTCCTGTAGCACAACTGTCTCCTGTGGTTGAGGCCCATTGGGCAATATGAGTCTGAAACTTACACAGGACTGGAGAGAGACATTGCAAATCATCAGCATGCAGGAGGTTATTAGAGCCACTGCAATCTATGCGATGTCTCCGGATATGTGGAACGAGAAGATCAGTGGGTCAAGATTAGAAGGATAGACTCATATTGAAGGAGGTGGGGAAAAAAGATAACATTAAGAAAACTAAAAATCAAGAGAAAGAGTAGAAAACCAAGGAAGATAAGAAAGAGCGGTGCAGTGGCAATCGGTAGCATCTGCCCAGCACCTTATCTCCATTCTCTTCTTAGCCAGACCCACCCCCTGAGCCACAACAGCTGATCCACGGATGGGCACATTACATGAGCCAGGCCAAATAGTCCTTCCCTGTGATTTTATATTTTGGCCTTGAAGCAAGATGTTTCTTTCCTCTTGTGTCCTTACCTTGGAATGATGTAAATCCAGAAGCGCCTGTGGTGCATTCCCTGCCAATGACAAAGGTCCCTGAGTGGGTTCAGATGTGCCGTGAGTTGATAATGACCACTTGTGCCTCGCAGCACAGGAAGCAGCTCTTAATTAAGTGAAGTTGGTGGGAGCTTCCTAAGGCACCTACACTACCTAATGTCTTCTCAGATGTTTGTCAGCTAGCGCTTCTCTGTGGAACCATGGAAGAACAGGGAAGCTACACCCAAAGCATCCCTTCCATGTTGTCTTCTGAGCTAAGTAAGCTATGAAACTGTGTCACACATACGTGCGCGTGTGCACACACACACACACACACAACCCGTGAGCTGTGTGGGAGCTTGATCAGTAGCAAGCAGTCCAACACACTACACTGGTGCAAGTGTGTTACAGCTTCATCTGCAGTAGAAGAAAATGAGACCAGCAACAGAGAGAAGCAGAGATGAGAGCTGAGAAAGACCCAACTTTTGATAGCATTTGAGCCTCTGGACCCAGTGATCCCTGAAGCCAGATCCAACCTTGCCCTTCCCACTTACGTGAATCAGTAAATGCTCTTAAGTTGAGTATCTTTCTGTTGCAAATGAAAGTGTCCTAGTGCAGAAACTGGAACCAGGAGTGAGTGACAGACTTAAAATGTGGGGCTGCTTGAGTCAAGATAGAGAAGGCAACAGTGGAGGTTTCCCTATCTTTGGCTGAAAAGCCGGAATCCATGGTATATGGAAGTGAAGCAGTGGGTTGAACCTTTACCTAGTATAGTAGCTAGGTACCTAGTTACCTATTTTGTGCCTCAGGCAAAGCCCTCATCATCCTAAAAATGGAAACTCTATGGACTCAGTAGAAAGGAGTCAGGATATTGGAGTGAGCACTAGGAAAGGCAGACGCCCCGGAGTCTTCCCAAACACCTCCACCTCTGCAGTCCCCCAGCCCCTGCCTAATAAGCATCATATTCCTCCCGTTACCAGCTTTGGATGCATCCTGGCGATGAAGGCAGCTCCCCATTGTTTCACTTTTCTGAGAGCCAGACACCAAGGCAGATGATGTTAATCTAAAACCCAGGAGAATGGGATGACTGCTGCTATTGCTGCCAAGGGGCTGATCCACAAGGGTGGGAACCCAGATTGAGAGATGCCGATTTAACAGGATTTTTGGCAGTTGTTACTAGCTAATGAGGCCACCCAAAATGATATAATCAGGCCAGCCACCAAGGGTTTCAAGAAAATGTATTGCCTCCTTGGCACACAGAGATTTGTGACTTCACTTCTTAAGACAGCCCTCCAAGCCCTCATCACAGAGATCGGGTTGCTAAAGCAATAGAGGCCCCAGCAGAGGAAGCCTCCCAACCATCCTCTCAGGCATGGTGATGAAGCCAGCGGACAAGGGAGATTCTCCCAGAAGGAAGGCTCCGGACCATCCAGACAGGCTGCCTAAGGAACTCACTCCACAGCAAGAGAAGGAAGCTGACAGACAGCTAGAGCTCATATTCCTGTCTATCAGGCTGGAAGATGCTGCTTCCTCCTCTTTACCCCATTTCTAAATGGGGTGCACTCTTGTCTCTCTTCCTTCCCTGCCAACTCTCCCTCTCCATACAGGGCCACCACCTTATTTCTAGCCTTAGGTCAGTCTTCCATTCCTTTGTCTGCTTAACAATCACTCAACTCTCCTATAACCATAACATACAACATACAGAAAATGAAAAGCCCCTAGTTACACAGGGGCCGTTTCTCCATTCTCCAGTTTCTCCATTTCTCCCAAGTCTCCAGTTATTTGAAGGGTCTGGCAAAAGTCCATACCCAGCCACATAAAAGGACTGCCATATAAGGTAAGTGTAACCACAGAGACAAAGACAGAGACATGAAACAAAAAGATTTTTTGTAACATTTATTTTTTATCCCATCCTAATTTTGTTTTTATTCCTCACCTCTCATTCTCATTCTTTTCTTGGAAATCCAAACTTTTTTTTTACCAAAATGTTTAAAATCATGATGATCTAGAGCCATAACAAAACTTTCTTCTCTCCAAAAGGGAAAAAAAATACAGCTTTTATTCTTATGCAGCATTTTCAAATATGCATGTTAATATATATATTTTAAACTATTTAAAATAAGACCCTTCATCCTTTAAGGTTATTGACATTTTCTAGTTCACTGACACATCTCTCATAATACAATAATTGGATTCATTTTCATGAATGAGGTGGGAACTATACTAAAAAATAGGATTTTAATCCCTGAGGTGCCAATTAAAATGGACGAGGTTGCCATTACAACACAAGATTAAAAAAAAAAAAAATCAGCCTTAAATAATAAGCATGGATCATGCTCTCTGGATCAGAATCACCTCCATAGCACGGAGTCATTTAGAAAATTGCATTTGCTGGGTTAAGTTCACCCTGCTATTCCCAGCCCGCATGCTATGATAATCTTTCCTTTTGTAAAGGAATAACACATAGCAAGGAAGTCGGCAGAAATTTCTGAGATTCTCAGAAATCAAGAGAAACCACAGTCCCGTTTCTCTAATCTCCATGCACATTGTTGGAGAGGGGTTTTCAGCACCATTCCAAGACCCAGAAAGGTTGATGAACCGACTTGGTTTTTCTACTTCTCCATAAATTTAGCGAAAAAGGAGAAATTCGTCCTCCTGGCTAGCAAATGGGCGTGTCCTACTTATCTCTGCCACCATACCGTTAGCAGAACTGCGTTGAGCCCTTCGGGCCCACCCTCCCTGCAGAGCCTTCCGCTTGCGGCGCCTGCTCCTGCCCCTAGTAGTAGCGGTTCAGGCTCCTGGTCCCTGGAACCTCGGGCTGGCCGTTCATCCAGATCTCCCTGATGATGCGCTCCCGCTCCTCCAGCCGCTGGGCGCGCTCCAGCTCCTCCGCCGAGGTGAAGACGTTCTTGTTCAAAGTCCTCTCGAAGCGGCGGTGTCTCCTGACCGAGATGTCAGACGCCGTGTCCGAGCTGCCATCCTCACTGTCGCTGCTGTCGCTGCTGCTGCTTTCTTGGTCCTGCAGGAACTTCTTCCGGGGACGCCGCCGGCAGTCTGTGTGGCAAGAGATCCTCATCACCAAGGCAGCCAGGGTGAGGGCCAGCCCGATGCACACGCCGGAGACGAAGTACAGAGCTGCTCGCTCGGGATTTTCTGGAGGAGAAGGAGGAAGAAGAGAGAATTTGAGAGATGACAACTCCATATGCAGAGAGCAAATATGACTCCGGCCCACATCGCACACCTCTCACCAGACCCCAAAGCTTTGATGGTCACAAATATTGCCTTCCCATGTGACAAACTGCATAATGTATTCAAAATATAATTATCAACAAATGGTGAACCTAGGTAAAGGGTGTATGGGATTCTTTTACTATTCTTGCAACTTTAAGTTTGAAATTGTTTCAAAATGAAAAGTTAAAAGAAATAAAAAATATTATTTAGCAGCTACTATAAGCAAATAACTGTGCTTAGATGCCATTTGCTTAAGAGATTTATCTGTCTAAAGCCTCTTTTTGCCTATACCAGAAAAAATCTTTCCTTCTGAGTTTGCTCCTGTAATCCCGTTAATTACCTTAGAAGTTGTAGGCAGCTTCTAAGATGACCCCCACATGTTGGTATTCACACTCCTAGGCAAGCCGCTCCCTTTGAGGGCTGGACCTAGAAGGTTGGACCTAAGGACTTACTTCTAACAAATAGATTATGGCAAAAGCAATGGATGATTCTAAGACTAGGTACCCTAGGACTTACTTCCAACTTGCTCATGCTCTCTGTCTCTCTCTCTCTGGCTTTTCTCACTCACTGGCTCTGCCAAAGCCAGCTGCCATGCTGTAAGCTATACTACCGAGAGGCCTGCATAGCAAGGAACTAAGAGTGGCCTCTGGCTTAAACAGCCTTCAAAGAACTGGATTGTGCCAACAGCCATGTAAGTGAGCTTGGAAATGAATCATCCTGGAGCCTCGAGGTGACCACAGCCCTGGCCTTGTAGCAAGTTTGTGGGAGACCCTGAACCAGAGAATCCAGTGAAGCCAAACCCAGATTCCTGACCCACAGAAACTGAGAGATAATAAATGTGTATTGTTTTAAGTCACAAGGTTTTGAGGTAATTTGCTATGCAGCAATAGATAACATACGATCACAGATTGAAAGCCAGTGTAGGCATTTTGGAGTGACCTCATCAAGTTAACTCGTGGGGGAGGAATTTGAGCTCTTCCTTGGTGAGAGAAGAAAATAATCACTCCATTGAAGAGTAATATGCTTAGTGGGCCCAGTGATCATCTCCATATGATGTGCTCAGCAGAATGAGAACCTCTGGGTGATCAGCTTTCACTTTCTAGGTAGGTGTGAGAACATAGGGACATGCCTAGCCTTGAGTCACAGGGCACAGTCAAGCTGACAGGACCCAAGATTGCCAACAGCAAATTAGTTTTCCATAATCTATATTCACTTATAAGTATGAGTTAAAATATATATTATTTTGTGGGTTTTTTAAGAATTTAGGTCAACAGCATTCTTTTTGACTACTGCATAATGTTCCGTAGTACAGACCTATCAAAGTTTATTTAGCCATTTCCATATTGATAGCATATAAATTGTTTCCAATTTTTTTATTACAATCAATGCTAGAATCAATGTCCTTATGTTCTTGGACATATTTCTTTATGCATATGGAGAATTATTTCTACAGGTTAGTTATCTAGAAATAGAACAGCTGCATGAAAGGACTTAGGCATTTTGAAGTTTCATGCATTCTAAATTGTACTCAAAAAAGGCTCTATCAGTCTAAACACAGCATATTGAATGCACGTGTTTATGATCTCTCCTTCTCTCTGAAATCCCCACCAAAATGACAGTGATGTGCATAAAATAGGTATAAATTATAGGTACAAAGAGAAGAGTGGAGAAGAAAATAGAAAACACAAATAGTCTAACGAGAGTAGTCAACAAAGAATGTAACTCCAGTGAAAGGGGAGTGACATCAACATCACGGCAGGCATAAGACATCTCTACTCTTTGTCCTCTTTTAACAACGAATTAGGAATCCACCTACAAACAAAAGTGCCTCTGTGGGAGCTGTGTGATCCAACAATGCATGCCAAGCACCCGGGAGGAGTCTCGCCCACCTATTCATCTGGTAATAGGCACAGACCTGGGTTTGGGCTGCAGAACCAGGGGAGCCAGTTCACCTGTCCCAACCCCTCCCAGTTGCGGATGGAGAACACCTGGAGAGTGCTGACTTGGGCAAATACCCCTGGACAAGAGAGAATTTGTAAAAGTTCAGCCCTCTAGAGGGGAGATTCCAGCACACCACTGGAGGAAAAAAAAAGAGTTTGGATGCAGTGGAGAGAGGAAGAGGAATTTTTCCAGCAAAAGGAGAGCAGTGTGTGAGTGCCCATCTACCCTGGCTGTTGCTGGATGCTACAGGAGAAACCCATTTCTCTCCAGCAACATCCAGAGTACTGAAGCAGGACCTCCATGACCAGGGGGAGGGAGGAGATCAGAGATTGGGAAAGAGGCAGGTAAGAATATCAAAGGCCATTACAGGGACACAATTCCTGCTGACTGCTCTCAGGACTTCAGCACAGAAATCCACCCAGGAGCCTCTGGGATAACCTCAGCCAAGGATCTCCCCACTAGCTAGCAGGAACCCCCAATGCCCCAAGTGCTAAACCTATACCTCCTTGCACTCTGCAGTGGCTCCTTGTAAATGGAGTGCTGTCAGAAAAAGAGACCAGGCTCTGTGGGCAAGAGAGAAACCACAAACTTGAGCTATAGCATCACCTTCTAGAAAATAAAAGAGAGGTTTCCAGCAGCCAGCCAAGTGAGTTGTAAGAACCAGAGATGACATAAAAGCTTGAGAATTCCACCACAAGAGGGAGGAAGAAGTGTAGAGCAGCTGTATAAATACCAGACTAAAGAGAACCCCAGATATAATAGGATCAATGAACAGAATACCCCATCTGAAGGCAATGAGCAAAGATTTGAGGAGGTGCCAGCTACTTCAAAGGCAAAAACAGCAATGTAAAACTACAAGGAACGTGAAGAATCAGGAAAGAATCGCCAAAAGATAATAATCTTTCAATAACTGAGCTCAAAGTCACAAAATCTTGTGATCTAATGGATAAAGAATTCAAAACAGCTGTTTTGAGGAAACAATGAGCTACAAGAAAACACAAATAGGCAATTCAACAAAATCAGGGAAAAAAATACATGAACAAAATGAGAAATTTAGCAAAGAGATAGAAACAGAAAGAACCAAAAAAAAAGAACCTCTTACAAAAAAGAACCAAAAAGAAATTCTGGAGCTGAAGAATTCAATGAATGAAATGAAAAATGCAACAGAGAGAATCTGCAGCAGGGTAGATCAAACAGAAGACAGGATAAGCAACCTAGAAGACAGGAATTTTGAATAACCCAGTTAGAGGCAAACAGAGGGGAAAAAAATAAAAAAGAGTGAAGAAACTACATGATCTATGGGATTCAATCAAATGTAAAAATATTAGCATAGTTGGGGGTCCAGAGGAGAAAGGAGGCAGAAAGTTTGTTTAAATAAATAATAGCTGAGAACTTCCCAAACCTGGAGAGAGACTTAGACATCCAAGCTCATGAAGGTAATAGATTACCTTATTATCTCAATGCAAAAAGACCTTCTCCAAGACACATTACAATGAAATGGTCAAAAATCAAAGAAAAAGAGAATCCTGAAAGCAGCCAGAGGAAAAAAGATTGTAACCTACAAAGGAAGCCCCATTAGGCTATCAGTGGATTTCTCTGCAGAAACCTTGCAGGCCAGGGGAGAGTGGAATGACATATTCAAAGTCTTGAAAGAAAAAAATTTGCCAGCCAAGAATACTCTATCTGGCAAAGTTATCTTTCAGATACGAAGGAGAAATAAAGACTTTTTCAGAGAAACAAAAGCTGAGGTAGTTCATCACCACTAGACCTGCCTTGCAAGAAAGGCTGAAAGGAGTTCAAGCTGAAATGAAAAGATGCCAAATAGTGACATGAAAACATATGCAAGTATACAACACACTGGTAAAGGTAAATATACAGTCAGATTTAGAAAACTCTAATTTTGTAATAGGATGGTGTGTTAACCACTTAACCATAGTATAAAAGTTAAAGGATAAGAGTATTAAAAATAATCATAACTACTATAATCTGTTAACAAACACAATATAACAAGAGGTAAATTGTGACATCACAAATATAAAGAGGGGAGTAAAAAGAGTGGAGCTTTTGTATGCGATTGAAAAGCTTTCAATCTTTCACGAATGAGTATGATGTTAGCTGTGGGTTTGTCATATATGGCCATTATTATATTGAGGTATGTTCCTTTTATACCCAATTTGTTGAGGGTTTTATCATGAAAGAATGTTGCATTTTTGTCAAACGATTTTTCCACATGTATTGAGATGACCAAGGAAACAGAAGGAGAAGTCACTATCTCGAAAAGATACCTGCACTCCAATGTTCATGGTTGCATTACTCACAATAACCAAGACATGGAAGCAACCTATGTTTCATCAACAGATGAACAGACAAAGAAAATGTGGTGTGTGTATATATATACAAGAGAATATTATTCAGCCATAAAAAAGAAGGAAATTCTGCCATTTTCGACAACATGGATGGACCTTGAGAGTATTATGCTAATCGAAATGTTAGACAGAGAAAGACAAATACTATTCAATATGACTAATATGTGGAATCTAAAAAAGCCAAACTCATAAATACGGAGAGTAGAACGCTGTTTACCAGTGGCTGGGAGGTGGGGGAATTGGGTATATGTTGTTTAAGGGTACAAATTTGCAACTAGTAAATCCTAGAGATCTAATGCGCAGCATAGTGATTATAGGCAACAATATTATATAGACTTCAAAGTTGCTAAGAGACTAGATCTTAATTGTTCTTACCACAAAAAAGAGATAATAATTATGTGATGTGAAAGAGGTATTAACTAACACTACAAAAGTATACTGCAATACAGTCATGCATCGCTTAACAATGAGGATATATTCTCGGAAATGCATCATTAGGGAATTTTGTCATTGTGCAAACATCATGGAGCATACTTATACAAACCTAGATGGTATAGCCTACTACAAACCTAGCCTATATGGTACTAATCTTATGGGACCACTGTCGTATATTCA